CGAAGACGACCGTAATGACTCAGAAAAACTAGTTCCAACAATGAATGGAGAAGCGGTCATCAGAGAAAATAGTCAAGCAGAAAGGATTGAGGGTGTGTTATCGGGCACACCTTGGCGAGGTCGGGAGTTCAGCACCCGCGTCACTTGGTGATTTTGATGATGCAAATAGAGAAAACCATGGAGGCGAAGCGCATCGGCACATTCATGACTTACCAGAGGCTCTGATTTTGTTAATTCTCAATCTGCTCCCACCTTCTCTTCCATCTCATGTTTTCCTTCTTCATTAGTGTCAGTTTCATCGACTAGAATTGGATCGCTCACATCCGCAGCAACATTGTCATTTTCAGATGGTACGTTTTTGTTTAAATCAACTGCATTCAGCTTCAAATCCTCAACAGCCTCTGTTTCTAGAAGTTCATCACTCATGTCTTCAGTAACAGTAATGGCGAGATTTCAGATGTTTCCTCTATTCCTTTCGGTACAGCATGATTCAGGATCTTGAACTCTTTTTGCTCGCCTATTCTGTTTTCATTGTTAGGGTTTCGATTATGTGGTCCATATCGGTCTTGAAAATCAGCCAAACACATCGCACTGGCAAGAGGGGTTGGAGTGAGGAAGGCAACAACTCCTTGGATCTCTAGACGAAGTCCATTAATGAAGATGTCAATGGCTGTTGATTTTGATAAGTGTGTGTGTGACAAAAGAGTTTCATACTGCTCTTGATACTCTAGTAGAGTTGTTTCTTGCTTCAGTTGGAGCAATGCAGTGATTGCTGGCATGATTGATTTTCCGACAACCACCAGCAGCGGCGGCCAAAAGGCTGGCTCTGATGCCATTAATAACAGTAGAGAAGAGAAATGAACTAAACAGTACAATATCAATTCAATCCCACCCAATACACCATTTCATATGCTATTCATAGACCTACCCTTCTCATTATTTACCTAATTACCCTAACTATTGCTATTACCACATCAGATTGGAGGAAGTATTAATTTACAACCAGAGAGAGCTTATGATCTTTCTTATAAGTTACTCCTTCTACTCTTTTTTGTAAAAGCCTGATAACTAAATTACACAATTTAAAAAAATAATTAAAATTAGTTAAAATAATAAACATGTAAAAGAATAAGCATTCTTTTTCAAGCATGCTCTTATTTATGAGGGGCAAGTAAGAGAGAGCAAGTATGAAAGAGAATGCAGTAAACCTTTTAATTAATGCAATATGTAAAATTAATTAGCGACAGAAATGGTAAAAACACATTAAATGTTCAGGCAATCACAAGTGTGATCTTATAAAAAGGATCAAGACAATTCAAATTTTAAGCTCTCATAGAAAGGAGTGAGAAAGTATAAGTAGATTATTAATTATATTTTTCCAGGTTATCCTAATTTAAAATCTCATTAATGGCAACTTCTATGATTTTTTTTAATGCAATTCATGGTATTAAATATAAATAAATTTGGATTTTCTTATTTTCAAACAAAATTAATGACTTAATTTATTAGAGATGCCTTATAATAAGAAGTATGCCCTCTCATCCTTAATACAAGGCACTTTCTAAAAAAACAATTTTTGTCCTTTTTATAAGATATTGTGACAATCTCAATAAGCATTAAATATTTTCTTTTCATATACCCATATTTAATAAATACAGTGAGAGAGTAGAAATTAATATGATGAAACTTAATACTGTTAATAAAGGTAATATTAAAAATTAGTTGAATTTTATAAAAAATTTAATTCTTTTGATTTTTTTTTATTAGTATATGAGAATTAGTTAGCACTCTCTTATAATAAGGATAAGAGGGAATACTGCATTCTTTCTTTTTAATATAAGAGAGAAGACAAAACTAACTTGAGAGTTAGAAAATGTGTTATTTTTTTATTATTCTTGGATACGTTTTTAACTTCAGCCTCGTCAATACTTCTGGTGGGTTAAAAGATGGAAGGAGGATCATCTCTTTAATTATAAACGTCTTCGGTCATTTCTTCTTAGACTATTAAAATCTTTCTTTTCTCTCTTGAGATCACATCGCCATAGTTTATGGTATCAACTAAACAATTTGCTCAAGTGACTGGTTAAATGAGGAAACAAAAAATGTTGTCTTGAAGGATATTTTGACTTGTCGTCCCTTATTAGTAAATTTAGCTACAGAAGTAGTTAATCTTTCATGATATGAATTTCCCTTTTCGGCCAACTTCATGACATGTATATCTCCTGAACTATATTTTTTTGCTGGCCCCAAAAACCTGGTTTTTGTTATGCATGTCATTGGGCCTTGCTAGAAAAAGAAAATCAAACCCATAACTTTATACGCATGGTTGTGAGTAATGCCCACAGGTGGTGGGACCATAACCATTAATGCATACTTTTGAATAAATGGGTTGGTGGAGGCTAAAAAATTTAATCAATTTCAAAATTAGTGAGCGTACTATTGATGACTTTTGAATCTAATACTCTCTCTTTCCTTATAAGAAATATTTGCTCAGGTAAATCAAAAAATTAGTTAAAACAAAAAATATGTAAAAATTATTTTAAGTTTTTATGTAAAAAATACTTTTATCATAAGAGAAGGGAGTATAAAAGATAGAATAAGAAAATAATGAACCATGTTTCGGAAGATGAAATAATAATCATATCGAGTATTAAAATAAGTAATTAATGAAGAAAAATAAGAAATTAGTTATGAAAATTTCAAACGTCTTACAAATGTTACTTATTAATAAGGCTAAGGTAGAAATTATTTTTTTTTTTATAGACATAGGTATTCTCCTATTGGAAGGAATCATGTTCGAGGTACTGTCTAGCAGTAAATTTAGACACCTATCCCAATAAGAATTCAAATATTGATTCACCACATTATAGGAAACTAGCCTCTTCTGTTAGACCTAATCCCTATTAATAAGAAGTTTATGTGAGTTGGGTTCTGGAAGTTCACCAAGACCAGGGCATACCTCTAAACTTAGAGAGCGTTTAAAGAGGTACTGACAGATCACCCACCAACAAAGTCCTTACATCGGTAACTAGATTTGAACTCACAACTTTATGGGTTATGAATCGACTTTTTACCAATTAGTTCAACTTTTATTGGTGTAAAAATTATAGTTGGTTCTTATAAAAATAGACAAAAGTGATACACCAAAAAAAAAAAGTACAAAAGTAGAACTAGTAATGTTGACTAGCTCGCTAGCTATGGGCCAATCCGCGTTGAGTTGGAGTCCATGTGAATCAGTCCTAAAAAGGACTACCTCTTGAGAGGTTGATATGTAGCCCACTCGAGCCCACGATACGTGAATAAATGAGATAATTAAATGGCAAGTACTTAAGGCCTTCGGCGTGGGGTAGTAGCGCTTTGCTTCTCTCCTTTGCGTTCCCAGTTTCCCCTTCTTCTCTGCCTCTCGAACGATGACGTTTCATTGTCCAGAAATGGAAGTTGATGATGGGCAATAGACAATTGGACCCATAAACATGAAACTAAAAAATCATCAAATATATTATCCATTTTTGGGTAACAATAATAAATACTATCTCTTGTTCTAGATATAAGACTAGTTTGATATTTATTTTAATCTTAAGTATAAAATTTTAATTTATTTTGTCTCTTATATTTATTTATTTTTCCTCAAAATAGTTTCCATGATAGTTACGCATATTAAAGAGTTTTTATTTTAAGACACAGAATGAATAAGAATATTTTAGAAAAGGCAAATACTCATTTATTATAAATAATTAAATTAATTAATTTTTTCATATTCGTAAATTAGTTATCTAGTTCTTATATTGAGGATTGAAAACAGTATATTACTATTGTTATCAAAAACTAATTTAGTTTTCAATTACAATCCCATTATTGTAAAATGGAACCAGAGTAATAAGTATTTATACATGATAAACAGACAATAGATAAATTGCTTATATTTAGTTTGTGCTTATACTAGGTAGAAATATTAGAACATATAGCTAGGTAGAAAGTTAATAGGATACAATATCCAAGATTTAGATAAATTCAATCAAACTCCAATATTCTAAAATATACACACACACATTCAATCAAAACTTTCCAAAATTAAGAACATATATAAGCATAACAAACATTTATTAGAAGGATGTTTTGGTTTTCTGAGGGGGTCAAAAGTCATTACATGATAAAAGTGTCTTTCACAAGTATATTTCAAGCAGAAAATTCTCTAATGTTGATATAGCAAAATAAGCACAAAGACTTAACAACAAATATTTAAAAATTACTTGGCGATTATTAAAAAAAAACCATCAAATATATTACTCATTGTTTGACGGTTAAAAACTATCAAGGATATGTTCAGATTTAAATCATTAATCATGCCTGCATATTTGACATTTTTACCAAAAAAATTGATAAGTATGACCTTTTCTATAGTTTAAAAAAATGTTTTTAATATAAAGTTAAAAATAATTCAAATGACAGTTGTATCTAATTTAGCCTAACCTGTCTATCTTTCTTTTTCGGCCTTTTCCTATTAAGTACGTAATTAAGCTGAAAATATAGCATTTATTAGGCCCCATTATCACAATATAATAATTACAATATCTAGTTCTTAATATAAAAGTTAGATAATTAATTTGCAGATATTAAAAAAATTAGTTAACTTAGTTATTTGTAATATATGAATATTATCTTTTCTTAAATACTCCTATTAATCATTTGTATTGAAATTACCCTTTGATAAAAAATCTATAACATTTGCAAATTACTCAGGAAAAAATGAATCAATATTGAAAACAAATTGAAATAGATTGATATTTTATATTTAGGACTATATTAAATCCCTAAATAACTCACATTAAATATGAGAGAAAGTACATTATTTAATTTGTTAGGCCACATTTACCCCGAATTAACACTCTTTCATGCGCGCCATGTTACTACTATATATAAAGCGATCAATCTCCTTGTTAAAAACACGTCCTGAACGCATCTACATACACACATATCGATCAAACACAAAAATAATTAAAATGAAGATTATCATTCCCATTATCTTCATCATTTTTTGCCTTCTCTTCTCATTCTCTTCCTCTCAGCCTTCTATGTTCGATTTTTGTGTTGCAGATTTCTCAGCTCCTTATGGCCCTGCTGGATATTCCTGCAAGAACCCTGCAAATGTGACTCCCAATGATTTTTATGGGTCTGGTTTAGGTGTTCCCAGCAACACAGCAAATACATTCAAAATCGGTGAAACGGTTGTGAATGTTGAAAACCTTCCAGGTCTGAATAGTCTAGGTGTTTCCTTGTCTCGTCTAGATGTTGCAGTTGGTGGGGTTGTGCCACTTCACACACACATCCTGACGCTACAGAAGTTCTTGTGGTGTTACAAGGCTCTATGACTGCTGGTTTCATTTCAACCAATAATACTGTCTATATGAAATCTCTTGGCGTCGGAGATGTCTTTGCGTTTCCAAGAGGTTTAATGCACTTCCAACTCAATCCAGGTATATATATACTCATCCAGTCCTATTTATATGACAGATAGAAAAGATTTTTCTTGGTGTTATTTATATGTTACATTCTTAAATTTTTAACTTGAATATTTTATCATTCATTTATTATAGTGTATATTGTTATTTTTTGGAACATATGTACATATTAAACGAGAGTGACGTTAAAAAGTTGTTATATTTTAAAGTAGAATTAATACAGTTTAATTTTCTTTTTTTCATGTGAAACATATTAAAAATTCACTATAAATAGAATTAGCAGAGTATATTGTTTAGTTCTTCTAAAATTAATATGCCAAGTTAAGCATAACTCGTTTAAATGCACATAAGACAAAAGTGTACGTTTGGTTTTCTAACAGTTTAATTTTATATAAGAAGATTTCAGTTTGATCATTTAATTTTATCAAGTATATTTTTAGTTTTTTAATTTTAATATATATTCTCTTCTCATCCTATTTATAAGAGAGAGATAAAGCAAATTTTTTAAATCCTATTTATAAATCATATCATTAAATTTTTAATATAAATGTATTATTTTATCTTTTATTTAGTATTGTGTAAGATTGTTATTTTTTGAAAAATATATATATTAAATAGGCATAAACTTGTTAAATTTTAATGTAAACTTAATGATGATTTTTTGTATCAACCATTATTATTTTTATAGGTTGAACTTAATACATCGGTATTTAAAAATGCTTAGTCAACATTTAAAGTTTCAAGCACTATGTTTTTTTGTTAATGAAACTAAAAATTAAAGAAGGTTAAAAAAATTATAAAATTAAGAAATTAAAATAAAAATTTTGCGTAAAGTTAAAAGACAAAAGTGCATTTTTTGCCTAAACGTAGTTAGTTACCTTGATCTCTAGAACTAAACCACATGAGTCCGATCTAGACTTTTGAAGTCATATGAAATAATTTTTTATCATCAATTTACTTGTTATTTCAATAATAGAATGTAACTTTACACGACATGTTTTTTCTTTTGGCCAACGCATTACACGACATGTTTATCTACATATGAATTCAAAATTTAAGGGCTTGCATGCACATATATAATGCAAAGTTTAAGTTTTTTTTCCTATGTAATTAGCTAAATTAATATTACACTATTGTTGATACTTACATAAATTATTATTAAGGCGTGATCTTACCTTTTAAATAATTTATTAATTCACGAGTGAATTATTTGTTGATTAGAATACAAGAAAATAAAACTACAAATTTCATACTTTTTTTTTAATACAAACTACATTTCACACTGCGCGCGCGCGCACACACATATATGTTATTATGCATATAATCCCATTAAAATCTAATGATTTAATTCAAAATGCATATGAAGAAAGAGTAGTGTAGAGAGTAGAAACGACATATATGCACGCATTATCTTTGGTACAATTATTATTATGAAATATTGCCTCTATCCTTAATATAAGACCTAATTAACCAATTTGGAGAGATTAAGAAAGTTTTACTAAATTATATTTAATTGTAGCATGTGTTACATGGTCTCTATAAAATATTTATGTGGATCATTAGATTATATATCAATTTATAAGTGAGACAAATTAATTCAGAGAAAAACAATAAATAAAAATAGTTCAAAATAATTTAGTAACTTTAAATTTTTTCAAATTAGTCATCTATGTATTATATTAAGGATAGGAGGTAGTATGTATTTTTTTAATATTGTTTAATTATGTGATTTACAATTATGGACGAAATTATATTTAATTATGGTTATATAATTATTTTGTGTTTTCTTTTCAGGTAAAACTCAATCCATGGGAATTGCTGCCTACAGCAGTTCAAAGCCTAATATCCAAATTCTGGACCTCGCACTGTTCCAAAGTAATTTGTCCTCTCAGCAGATAACAGCCACCACTTTCATTAATATTCCCGAAGTGAAGAGGCTCAAGACCCTTTTTGGAGGCTCCGGATGAAGTATATTCTATAATATATGCATATTTCAACAAGCTTCCTAAAAGGTCAACTTATATAATAAAACATTACACACACACACACACACAATCTGATCATGTGGATCCACTTGATGTATTATGATCAACCTTTCCGGTTTTTTATGTTTGGAATGAAATAAAAATTTGATCTTTATCCCTTACTAATTTATAAGCAAACGTGCACTTTTAGTATTTTTAATTTCATCTAAGTTTCCATTTTGGTCTATTAATTTTTTATAGTGTCCTTTTAGTTCTTTAATCCTAACAACATTAACAAAAATGCTAATATTGTAATTTTAAATGTTAACGATATATTCTTAAATGCTGAGATATCAAGTTTAATTAACTTTCAAAAGAATAATGATTGTTATAAAAATCATTATTTGAAATTAATCATATTAGCAGCTAGAGGATTGAAAAGATACTTTATAAAATTAATGTACTAAATTAAAACTTTATACAAAGTTAAAAAGTAAAGTTGCACCTTTTATCTAGTTTGTATACATAAATTGGGCTAATATTTGATATTGTCCTCATTAAATTAGGAATGTGGTTTCATATTCCTCTTCAAAGAGTTATGAAATAAAAGTTTGCATTTACCATAAGAAGATATTCGCCATGTTTTATCACTATTAAAAATAAGGTTTTTTTTTTTGGGTCATAACTCACTTACTCATCATGCCTTTCACATCGGGTATAAACTCATAACCTCAAAACTAAAAAAGACTTAAGAAAAATATTTAAATGTATATTTGGTTTATTCAAAAAACACTTAAAAAGTATTTTTAGGCAAATCGATATAAAATTTTTCTTACATGTTTATTTCATATATCATAAAATTATTATTAAAATTACGGTTTAGGTTCTACCCAAACACTTAATATCATTGAGCTCTAAGGCCTTGATAAGGGCATACTAAAAATTGGACTGGCTAATGAATAGATCAAAATATTGGTTATTAACAAGAATTCGGTCTTATGAAAGGAGCAGTACCTCTTAATAGGATTTATAAAAAAATTATCAGCCCCACTTGTCATTTTTTTTCCTGAAAAAATAAACTCGTTTAAATTTTCTCATCCTTTTCCTCTAGTTTCCTTCAATTAAACAATGGGTTGGTATCTACGTCCCATGGAATTTAAAATCCAGTTTTTCTAGTATTATTGAAGAACATACATACATACTTCACACGTATAAACATACAAGCCAACCTGTGAAAAAATGAGTTGACTCGTTAATACTCATATTTTGGCTAGCTAAGATAGTGAATAGATTCAATATGCTTATGTTAAATTTTTTGAGTGATTAATGTTAAAGTATCTTCAAAACAGAAGATTTATCTATGGAAAAGTTCATACTCCTCCAGTTTTAAATATAAAATCCTTATACTAGTGTGTATAAGGGTTTTATATTTAGGATCGGAGGAATATATCCTTATAAGGCCGGTTAGAGTTATAATATTAATGCAAGTCATTAAGGTGATTTCATTATCATATCTAAAAACACCTTTGGAAAGCTATAAAATCAAAAGTATGGTAATCATCACGGTGTGATGAAAAGTGTTTTTGTTAAAATCGGGTTGATATAATCAATCATATAATATTTATTAAGTGATTAATTAATCAAGACAAGTACACTAAATTAACAAATTTATTTATCGATTTAACTTATCATGCACGTTTAAGAAAAAAACATATACATAATTAAAACAATCCAGCAAATTACATGTATAATATTTTCTAGAAGAGATACAATGGAAGAGTATCTAAATAACTCTCGCCATTGCTCATGTGATTTGATGTCGTTCATGACCTGAGAATTGAATAATTGAAATCACAAAGCACATTTAGTGATAAGAGCTCTTGGGGACTCTCCTAATTGACGAGCACAATGATGACAACTTGTAAGAAAATGGGTCAGTCCACCCTTGGTAGATTGGACCCAAACCCATTGATATTTGGAGTCCTGGTGTGAATAGCAAGACTTGTGGGTCTCTGACTGCAATTTTTGCCTTTTTATGTAATTTGCAAAAGGGAGGGAACGGTTGGACAGAGGAGGCAGTTTTTTTTTTAAAAACGTGGAGTTACATAATTGATCCAAAAGGGATCAGTTCGAGCGTGTGTGACTCCTCCGCTTTTTGGTTCCTCCAGACTCCTCCCTCCACTCTCTGAACTTTATCTCCTGATGAATTTGCTGTGAAAATTCAGATCCGACTCCGTCACTGTGATCGGACCTCCACATGGCTATCTGATTTCGTTGTAGATTTCGGGTATGCCCGAAATCCTTCAGTGGTATCAGAGCATAGGTTTACATTTCTTGTTGGTGTCATTCTGTGGCCTACGTATCAGTGTTTTTTTTTTTTCTTTTTCTTTTTTTTCTGTTTTCGGTTCTCAGTATCCTGTGATTTGCTTCAATATACTCTGCAAATCCTTTCATTTATTTTTAGTATGAATTATATCTGACTTATATTTATAAGTAGAAATACTGGAATCTTTCTCTGCCTCCATGAAATTTGTTTTACATCAATAAACGTTTTCAGCTGTCTCCCTTGTTGATCTTTGGGTTTGCTTAAAATTAAGTTTTTAGGCTTCAAAACCTATCCCATTGTGTAGAGAATGAAAAAACAAAGAAAACAATATAAAGTACGCAAAAAACGGACATCAGACGGGCAAGATATGGATGAGAGAAGTTGTCGAATTCGACGGGTATGTCGGGCCCGACCCGCTTTGCAGAAACTGGGTCAGGACGACCCGGTTGGAGGTTGAAGACAACCTCCAGGGCCAAAACAGCGTCGTTTTGGCCCTTCAAAGAAAAAAAAGTAAAGAAAAAGGGAAAAAGAAACCAGGCCCAAAGAAAAAAAAATAGTTTCAGCTTTAAAAAAAAGAGTTTTTTTTTTTGGTTTGTGCCAGTGTCTGCGAGCCTATTTCC